TCTCTCTCTCTCTCTCTCTCTCTCTCTCTCTCTCTCTCTCTCTCTCTCTCCTCTTCTCCCTTCTCCCTTTCCCCTCCATAACCTACTAAATAAATATTCAATTTCACTCTGCATGTTGTGCCTATCCATGTCTCTGTCTCTCACCTGCCACGTGGCTCCCTGCCCAGGACCAGCCACCTTCAGAGACCTGCTGCATGGTCTCGTGGTGTGCCCATCTGTCTGTCTCTCCTCGTGGGACTCACTGTCCCTCATGGCCCACTGCAGTCACTCAGGGAACTGCGCCATCCCTGCCTGGGACTGGCTGCTCAGGACCTGCAGCCCGCTGCCTGCCATCACTTTGGGGACCTGTGATGTGGTCTCATGGCCTGCTGCCCACTGCTGCCACCTGGGGACCTGCAGCATTTTACTTAAACCATAACAGTTTCTCTGTAGTTTTGGGGCATGTCCTGGAACTAGCTCTTGCGGACCAGTCTGACCTTGAACTCACAGAGATTTGCCTGCCTCTGCCTCCCAAGTGCTGGGATTAAAGGCATGCATCACCACTGCCCAGTGGGAATGTCATTTGTAAATCAATGAATTTATTTCTAAATTATGCATATATGTATGAGCCTATGTGCACCACATGCTTGCAGGAACCCTTATAGACCACTAGAGGTCCTTAGGTCTCCTGAAACTACAGTTACAGGCAGTCGTGAGGTATGCTGGTGCTGGGAAACAAACCCAAGTCCTCTGCAAGAGCATTAAGCACTCTTAACCACTGAACCATCTTTCCGGCCCTGGGTACCTTTACATAAAGAAACTTCTAGTACCTCTAACTGGCATGGCCTATTTTAGTTCCAGTATTTGGTTAATTATAATAAACTCACCATGAAAAGTTTTGCTAGTGGAGACTAATTGGTTTTGTGCAATTTGGATAAAAAGTCAAACCAGAATCCTTGGGTCTCCTCTGCAAGAGTGGACAGAAGAGAAGTGACCCTGAGCAAGGTCATTGCAAGAGCAATTCAGAACCCAGCCAGTTGGACCCAGTTAGTGAGTGTTGTTCCTCATTCCTTGTGGTTGTTTTGCTTGTGGGGATTGGATCTGGGGTTTCTTTTCAGTGTTTAAAACACAACTTTACCAAACCTGGAGTTTTCCTTTTTTTTTTTTTTTTTTTTTGTAATTGTATTAAATAATGAGTCACTTCCTGGAGGCCGTGTCAAATCTGAATCTTTCCAAGAGTAAAGACTCGGTGGGTGCTGGGCACACAGCTCAGTGACAGGGTGTTGGCATAGAATGGCTATGATCTGGGCTTCTATTCCCAGGACTACAGACAACCACAACTAAAAGATTATCTCACATACGGTAGAAAAGCCAAGGAGGCAAGAAGTCACTGCGGAAACCTGAATTAGCCTCGGAACATGACATCAATGTTGTTTGTAGTTTACTAAAACCACACAGGTAAGCCTGGCAGAGGATTTGTCTAATATGTCCAGAGCTCTGGGTTCAAGTATCAGTATCAAAAAAGAAGAAGAAGAAGAAGAAGAAGAAGAAGAAGAAGAAGAAGAAGAAGAAGAAGAAGAAGAAGAAGAAGAAGAAGAAGAAGAAGAAGAAGAAGAAGAAGAAGAAGAAGAAGAAGAAGAAGAAGAAAGAAAGGAGGGACAGAGGGAGCATTTTAATCAAGGCAATATTTCAGACAATTCCTGGAAAGTCAATCATGAAGGCCTTTAACACTGGAAAGCCAGGCAAACACCTGTAATCACAGACGTTGGGAGGCAGAAGCAGAAGGATCACCACAAATTCAAGGCCAGTCTGGACTACATAGCCAGTCCATAATTTAAAAAAATAAAAAAGACTCTAAGAAAAACATTAAGAGTGGAGTCAATTGAAGTAAGTGCTTCAGGGGTCATGGGGTTGCCCGCTGTGGTTGGCTAGAGATGAGTGTCACTTGAGTACCTTGTGGCATTTCTCCTGGCTGTCCCTCAGGAAAAGCAGCTCTGAATTCAACATAAGTGAGAACCCTGGGGGCTTGCCCAGACGTGTGGCAAAGGAGGTGGTTAATAGTACTTGAGGGAGCTTTTAGACATGGGTCCCTCCCACAGGAAGTCACGTGGTCCTTTTGAGGCAGATGCTACAAGAGTCCTTTGGTCTTCTTTTTATCGTTTGTTAGTTTTGTTTTTCAAGACAGGGTTTCCCAGTGTAGCCCTGGCTGTCCTGGAACTCACTCTGCAGACCAGGCTGGCTTTGAACTCACAGAGATCCACCTGCATCTGCCTCTGCCTCCTGCAGGTTGGGATTAAGGGCATGGACTACCACCACCTGGCTGGTTCTTACCTTCTTGAAAGAATTAATTCAGTCAAGAGATAATAGACAATTTAAGCAAGTTTACTTAGCAAAGAAGTGGTTTATTTAGGAAAGCTAAACTGAGCACTCCAAAGAGACTGGAGTGGACTGTTCAAGGTGGGGAGCAAACCTAGTGGGCCTCTGTTGTGGATTTCAAAGAAGTTTTATGAATAGTTATGAGGTAAGTGTCAGTGCATTCAGGCCCTTGGGCCCCAGCAGAGAATACTGCAAGCAAAAATGCACCTTCGCCACAGCTGCCACCCACAGGAGTAAGCACAGACAGTCATTGGTGCTGTCCCTTCTTAGCTGGTCAGACTGGCAATCTCATGCCTGGCTTTTATTTACCTTCCTTAGTGTTTCCTACCTCGCTGTTTAACCCTGATGTCTGTTTTTACCATCTTACTTTGTTCCCGGGATTTCCCCCTGTGGAAAGAATCTGAAGTTGAAGGTTAAGTTCAGTTCCACAAGCTTTACAGACAATGGGTATCATCTCAGGGCAGAGGGCCAGTGCGCTGGTGTGTATGTGGGTGGGAGACTGACTAAACAAAACCAACGAGAGCAAAACTCACCCAAACCTAATGGCTTTGAACCATAAAACATAATTATCCTAAAGTGATTCTAATTTTGAACCAAATAATCACAAATCAGTTTATAAAAGAAGTTTCACGTTGCCAGAACTGACTTAAAGGAAGACTCAAAACTACAGACAGCAAGAGACTCAGGACAGTCAGAGATAAAGATCCTGTGACCGTTCCATCTGTGATACTGTGAAGGGCAAAACAGGTCCTGTGCACATGGATAAGCACTGGAGAAGCCAGGAAAGTTGAACACACAGCTCACCTCTCCAAGGAATGGGGTACTTAGTGTTCCTCCTGGAATGCTGGGAAATGGATGTAGTTTAAAGCCTGATGATCCTATACGGATGAGCCAGGATCGTCTCTATCTTCCAGAATCTATGCTTTGCTGATCCTAGACCCTTTCCCCTTAACACCCTGAGTGTGACTTCCGGATGTCATTCATACATTACAACAGCCTAAGTGATTTCTACATTATCTTAGGGCCAGGCATTATGTTTGCCTCAGTCATTCTCCCTAGAACCTTGGCTTGAGCATCGTTTCTAAGTCAACAAGAAACCATCGTAGGGACAAAGCCATATGTACTTTGATAAGAGTTTCCATGTAAACATGTCTTAAGCTTTGATTTTCTTGTGGGTGATAAGTTAGTTGTTATCTGAATACTTTTCCAAAATTGTGCTGCTCTTAAATATGGCTAAAATAAAATTATCTGGGTCAAACTCTAGAAGTTCTGGCCCAGCAGCAGTTATGATAAAATTGGGCTGAGCCAGGTTTCAGTTCTAACCTCGCCCTGATCCTTTCCCCCTGCCTTCTGTAAAGCCTGCAGGGGAATCACCACAAAGCACAAATACTTTAACTTTAGAATTATAACCAAGACACATTCAATTTCTAGGACTTTCTCACCACTTTGTAACACGTAATAATAATGGCTTTTCCCAGGCCTGTCAGCACTTGGGAGGTAGAGGCAGACAGATCTCTGTGAGCCTGTGACCAGCCTGGTCTACATAACAAGTTTCAGGCTAGCCAAGGCTATATACTTTGCCCCAAAGTAATAATAACAATAATAACAGTGTGTTGTGTGATAATAATAAACCAAGATCCATACCAATGCAAATTATTTATATCTATATCACATCCCTCTTTAAATGTAAACAAACATTTGTAGACAATATTTGGGAATATGGGCATAGTTTTCTCCATACTGCTTCCTGCTGAATGTTGGGCGTAGTAATTTTTAGGGGTGTTCACGGCAACCTTCGGGGGATCTTGTTCCATCAAACCACACCAGTCTGGAAGCAATCCAGGTTCTCATCCTCTGTGGAAACAAGAGAAGAATGTCTTTTCCAAAGCAACATATCCTTAGACCCAAACTTGAAAGTCTAAAACTTAAGCTGCACCATTACTCTGGTATATATGGTACCTCCTCCTTACCCCACCCAGTTTAGCATGGTGGAGCCTCTGAGCTGCATACATCACCACACTTCCAGGCACACAGCCAGCCCATGTTGCCACCAAGCAAGCTGCATCATGCTGCTCACAAACCCCATCCACATGTAGTTTCTCTAAAGAGTCAGCGTTTGTGCTAGTAGCAGGGCCCACAGCTGGGAAGCTGACATTTTGAAACCCCCCATCCCCACAGCTGCTACTGCTGAATCAGTCAGCCCTCTCTTAAAGGAGCCACAGCTTGCCTCCTCAAGCAAAGTTCATTTGGGAAAAAATGCAGCTAAACTTTTTGTTTTTTAGTGTCTAGAATTTCTTTTCAAGCTTTCTCAGGTTTTATGTGGATATCGTTGGCCATGTTGGAGTGCCAATCTGTAGTAGGGAGGTCACTTGTTCGTCCCAGCTGCCCAGAACTGAAATAACCACACAGAAACTGTATTAATTAAATCACTGCTTAGCCCATTAGCTTTAGCTTCTTATAGGCTAACTCTTACACTAATTTAACTCATTTCTATTAATCTGTATTAATCGCCAAGTGGCAGTGGCTTACCGGCAAAGTCTCTGCATGTCTGACTCTGGTGGTGGCCCCATGGCTTCTCTCTAACTCCATCTTCTTCCTCCCATGCTATAGGCCAAATCAGTTTTCTTTATTCATTAACTGATACATAGACAGAAGGACCTCCCACACCATTTCCGTCTCTTACGTAAACTGCAAAGCATGCTTTTCAGCCTACACTAAACTTGCAACCCTCTTCACAGGATGCATACCCTTACCCTTGTTCCTTCCCTTTCAATGAGATTTCTAACAATGATAACAGCCAACTCTCTCACCCTTGTGAACTCTTTCTCCCTCCTATAAAAAAGACCTCAAGAAGCCAGCAAGGGCTGCTCTCTCAAATCCCAGCTCAGACTCAGGGGCACCCCAAAATACAGCTTGCTTTAATTGGACAATGGTGTATTTGGTCTTTTCTTGTCATGATTCTCAGGTTTAACAGTAGGCAAGTCTGCAGGGCATTTTCTTCGTTAACGATTGATGTGGGAAGGCCCAGCCCATGGTGGGTGGTGCTACCACTGGGTAAGTGGGACAGGGTTGTGTAAGAAAACAAACTGAGTAAGTCATGGGGCACCAGGAAGTAAGCAGAACCCCTCAGTGGGCTTTGTTTCTGTTCCTGCCCTGGATTCCTACCCCGCTTTCCTTCATGATGGGCTATGATGTGGAAGTGTAAGCCGAGTAAGCCCTTTTCTCCCCTCCAGTTGGTTTTCGGCAGTGTTTTTTGTTTGTTTGTTTTTGCAGCAGTACAAAGCAAACTAGAACAGAAATTGGTACTGTGAGTATGGTCTTGCTGAGGCAGACCTAGCAATGGTGCTTTGGGGTGGATTGTGGAAGTATCAGGAACTTTGGACTGGAAAAGTCGGTACGTATCCAGAGCTTAATAGGAGTTTAGGAGATAAGAAATCTGACAACAGTGCAGACAAAGGAGGCCTGGATCATGAAGTTTAAGAGCAGACTCTAGTGAGACAATTTGTGTGATATGTTTAAGTTAAAAATCTATAGTTTCTGGTCAGCTGGGACTGAAAAATCAGCTGTATTAATAAGAAACGAGCATCACCAAGGTTAAATCCTCTGGGAGAAGTTCCTCAGGGTCAGCAAACAGAAGTCGTGGTCCAGTGTGGGGGTTCGGGGCCAAGGGGGCACAGCTAGTTGTCATTTGTAAGAGACTCACACATGGACTTGAGTCATGAGGGGGTCATGGGGTGATGGAGAACATCTGAGGCTTGGCACTGTAAAGGACAGGACAGGCCGCTGGTGAGGGTACAGCCTCTGTAGCAGTGTAAGCCTAGAACTCAAGGGGTCATGGAGAAAGTCTGAGTCTTGACAACATGGAGCAGGTTAGAGCTCCTATAAAGAGGCCAGATGAAGATACAGTCTAAATTGCGGTGAAGACCCTAGCTTATCGGAGGTCACCGCCAAGAACAGGAAGTAGTGGCAAACCACAGAAGTGGGACTGTTCAGGTCCCTTGGAGCTCAGAAGATCATGCGTGGGTGCCAAACACGCAACACTGAAGGGCTTTATACTGTTGGAAGTCTGGTTTTGCTTTTCTGCTTGATGGCAACAATCCCCTGGTTCTTCCCTCTTGGAGTGAGAAACTATTTAAATTGTTGTGTTTGTACAAAAACCGACAGCAGTCTTGAAAAGAGACCTAGGTCTTTATAAGTGTTGAAATTCTTAAGGACTGTAGGGCCTTTAAAGCTGCACTATGACTTTTATTGTGACGTTAATATTAACATGAGAACATGTTAGTTAATATTAACGTGAGAAACAAAAAAGAAAAGGTTACGGTCTGAATGGTGACGTGTTTGTGTGTCAAGTTGCCAAGGGCCAGTTGTGCTGGTTAGTTCTGTGTCACCTTGACCTGCGCCGGGAAAGATAGTGTGTATTCAGCATAAACAGGGAGAGGCTGATAACTGAAAGACGGGTCAGGTGCAGCTTGATGGGCGGTTGAGTTTCTTGGGACCAAGCCCAGCCAGTTTCTTATCTATTACACACTTAAAGCATTTCTAGGATTCCATGCACCTTCAGCAGGAGGAACCGGTGATTAGAACTTCAAGGGAAAGCCCTAGGAGGGTCCCGTGACCCTCCCTCCCTTTACCAAGAAGGAATATTAATAACCTAATTACTGTGACCCACCTATCAGCTGAACAGTTCTAATTGCTGCCATAACAGCAGTTACAGCCTCCTGCAGGTCACCATAGCCACTCAACCTCATGATGATCACGGTTGAACCAAGCCCAGAGAAAACGCTCATCCGCCGTCTCTACATCCTAGTTAATTCTTGACCCAAAATTACTTATTTTAGAATTTACCAAGCATAGCAAAAAGCTTAAATTGTTCACAGCACCAGCTGTGGTGTGATGGTGGCTTAAGTCTGTAATGCCAGTGCTTAGGAGGTTGAGGTGGAGAATTGTGAACAGTTTGAGGTCAGGCTGGACTGTAGAAAGTAAGACCCCATGTAGGGGGTTGAAAGAGAAATGTCCATTATAGGCTCATGCATTTGGGTTGACAGCACTGTTTCGGGAGGTCATGGAACCTTTAGAAGGAAGAACTGGAAGGATGTCACTAGGGAGTGAGCTCTGAGAGTTCTTAGCTGCTCTCCACTTTCAGCTCCTTCTCTTGGCTTCACACTTGCCTTCGAAGATGTGATCTCTCAGCTGCCAGTTCCTGCTGCCCTGCCTTCCTCACCATGATGGACACTTATCCCTCTAGGAATCTTGAACCCAAATAAATTCTTCCATAAAGTTGCTGTGGGTCCTGGTGTTTTATCTCTGCCACAGAGAAGTAGTGACTACATCCTATTGTTGTGAGAGGCTACTTGTTGGTTCCCAGAGGCTCAGCCCCAAAATAATCACACAGAAACTATATTATTTAAATCACTGCTTTGCCCATTAACTCTAGCTCCTTATTGGCCAACTCTTATATATAAATTTAACCCATCTCCATTAATCTGTGTATCACCATGTGGCAGTGGCTTACTGGGTAAAGTTCCAGCGTCTGTCTCCAGTGGGGCTACATGACTTCTCCTTGACTCTGCCTTCTCTCTCCCAGCATTCAAGTTTAGTTTTTCCACACCGAGCTCTGTTCTACCCTATCAGGCCAAGCCATTTTTCTTTATCAATCAATGATATTCCCAGCATACAGAGGGGGATCCCACATCATTCTGTCTTATACAAAAAGAAGAAAATAAAGCAAAACAACAACAAAAACCATTCAAGCAGGGCATTATGAAAGCAAAACCGAGGCAATGAAGCTGTGAAGTAAACAGAAAGCCTTGACATCTTCTTCTTAAGAGCAGACCAGCACTGCTGTTTCCAAAGGGACAGACTCCAGTGTCCCTACATTGTCTTCTCCCAGCTGCTCAGCCTCTTAATAGCCCAATCCCTGTTTTTTAGTAGACAGAGCCTCTTCTATACCAGTTTGGCCTTGACACTGAGGATGACCCAGAACTCCCAACCTCCTGCTTCTGCCTCCCAGAATGTTTGGATTACAGGCCTGCACCACTGCTCCTGGTGTCTGTAGAGCTGGGGATGAATGAGTCCATGGCTTCTTGCTTGCTAGACAAGTACTCCACCAACTGAGCTGTAACTCCACCCCCTCAACAGACTTCTTAAGCCTTTCTGGTCATGATCTCTTTCACTCAAGAGAGGTTCTTTTTTGTAAGAGAAGATAGTTTATTCTGGAGCCAAATATAAATGAACATGATCCAGGAATGCTGATTTGGGTTACCCCAAATTCCATGTTCCAATGTGGCAACTGTTTGATAAACCTATTTTATAGGAACCGAGAAAGTCATAAAACACTTTCCAGACATACTAGCGAAAACATCAGGTAGGTGGGACATAGCAAATGAGGAGGGTATGACTCTGCTATAAGCCTCAGATGCTGTCTGTTAATACTCTTAGCCTTTTGGTTGGAAGAGTCTGGGTTCTGTACAATGATCTGACGACTCAGTGAAGCCTGCTTATGTGGCTATTCATTAATAATCTTTTAGGAAACTCGGGTGATGAGACTGGCCTATGAGATCACTCGTCCTCCCACAGTTGGGAAAACTGTTCAGGTTCTTCATCCTTCAAGCTGCTGGCCATGAAGGAGAGACCAGCGCCAGTGTCCTTTATGCCTGCTGATGTCTAGTCATCTGCCCACTAAGCATCTCAGTGACTGGGAATGTCGAGCTGTATGTGTGATGCCAATTCCAAGCCTCAGTATTCTCTGCAGGTAGATTTGGGGCACCAACTCTCTTGAGGTTACCACATCTATGCATTTCATTCTGCTGAATTTATTTCCCCAAACCCCAGGCTCCCCCCAGTTATGGGGTTCCCATTCCTGAGCATCTACCAAAGACAAAAATCTTCCCCACCTGTGACCAGAGGTCCCCTACAGTATATTCAGCCTGCGTACTTGATACCTCAGTTGGGACCGGATGGACAGGACACCTGTGCAGAAAGATATACTTTCTCCCTGTGCTGGCATCAAAATGTGGGGTGTCTCCATTCAATCATTTGTTTGTTTATTCATTCATTGACTTCGAGAACAGCTGGGCACCCTAGGACTAGGGGGAACTAAGTCAGATAAAAATGGCCAGAACAGCTCCAGGAAGGACTTAACTGCTGCCAAGGGGTGCCAAAGAGGAAGGGATCCAGGGTGGGGAGACACAATAGATGAGAGACTGAGAGCCAGAGGAACTACTCCAGGGCTGCCTGCTACCCACTCAACTGCCCATGAGAGAAGATTCAAGGAGAGCTGCAGGAGGGAGGACCACCGACTGCTGGGGTAATGCTCTGCTTTGCATGGGAATGGTACTGGCTCTCTCTTTCACCTGAGCCTTCCTTGGGACAGGGGCCTGCCTGGAAGAGGTCTGTGCAGTGATATGGCTCAGCCAGCAAGAGGAATACTGTCCTGCCCATAAAAACTCCAGAAGCAAGATTAGCAGACTGCAGACAGGGGTTCCTCCAGTCAAGGTGCAAGGATTCAATCCAGCACCCTCTGATTGTGGAAGAAACCTAGAGACTTTCTGATCCCACTAACCTTGTCAGGCAGGGTGGACCAAACTGACAAGCAGGCTCAGAGCTGACTAAGGCTGAGTCAATCAAGTCCTCAGGGCTAGGACCAGAGCCTACTATGATCTGCAAATGAATGGAAGGCCAACTTTCAGCCATCCTTGTGAGATTACATTCTATTCCGGAAAGTCAAGGGACTGGAGAGGAAGAAGTGGTACAGGTTACATCCTGTCTTTGTCAATGTTTTATTGCTATGAAGAGACACCGTGATCATGGCAACTCTTTTTTTTTTTTTTTTTTTTTTTTTTTTTTTTTTTTTTTTNGATTTTTTTTTTTTTTTTTTGGTTTTTCGAGACAGGGTTTCTCTGTGGTTTTGGAGCTTGTCCTGGAACTAGCTCTTGTAGACCAGGCTAGTCTCGAACTCACAGAGATCCTCCTGCCTCTGCCTCCCTAGTGCTGGGATTAAAGGCGTGCGCCACCACCGCCCGGTATGGCAACTCTTATAAAGAGTTTTTTATTGGGGTTAGTTTACAGTTTCAGAGGTTTAGTCCATTATCAGCGTATGGGGAGCACAGTGGCATGCAAACAGACATGGTACTAGAGAAGTAGCTAAGAGTTCTGCATCTGGATCCATAGGCAGCAAGAAGAGTGATACTGGGCCTGGTTTGGGCTTTCAACACCTCAAAGCCCCTCCCCACCTCCAGTGACACACTTCCTTCAATAAGGTTCCATCCCCTAATCCCTCTCAAGTAGTGCTACTCCCTGATATCTAAGCATTCGAATACATACGCCTATGGGGGCTTCTTATTCAAACCAGCACACAGCCCAGTGAGAGCTGCCTAGACAGAAGGACTACTGCCCTGCACAGTGGAGGGTGAGAGCCCATGTTCCAAAGAAGAAATTCCTTGTCCTTAGACAGATTATCCTGTCCACTTGAGCTGAAGACAGTGCCCCAAAAGTCCCCAAGGACTCCTGAAGTAGGTGAGTGTTTCTATACCTGTAGAGAGGACAGAAAGGGAATCCCAGCAGAGTGGGACAGGCTCAGTGGCCAGACAACTCCAGCCCACGACAATGCCACTGGCATAAGCCTAAATCACGCTATGGATGGCCATTGTCAGTCCATGCTGAGGAACCAGAAAGATTAACAGAACTGAGACTGGAGATGTGGCTCAGTTAGTAGAGCCACTGTTTAGCATGCACGAGGCCCTAGGTTTGGTCCCCAGCACTCATAAACCTGGTACAGCAATACACATCTCTAGCACGAATTCTAGTTGGTCTTAATAAAACCTCAGAGTTAGTTATCAGGGTGTGAAAGCTGAAGAACCAGAGAAGCAGAGCAGTCAGCCACTAAAGAGTTCTTATCTCTACCAATGCTCAGACCAAAAGGGTGATCCTGTCCTCAGACTGCGTCCTCAAACTGACGACTGCTTCAGACTGGCTGCACTGAGCTCCTGTCTCCTCCCACCTTATATTCCTCTCTTCACCCAGCCATATCACTCCTATGTGCCTCCCTAGTGCTGGGATTAAAGGCGTGTGACCCCAAGTGCTGGGATCACCTTTGTGTGAGCCCTGTTTCTCTTTCAGACTGGATCAATTTCATGTAGCCCAGGGTGGCCTTGAACTAACAGAGATCCTTCAGCCTCTGTCTCCCAAGTGCTAGGATTAAAGGTGTCTGCCACTGCCTGGCCTCTATGGCTAGCTGGTATGGCTACCTTAGCACTCTGATCCTCAGGCAAGATTTTTTGTTAGATATAAGCAAAATATCACCACACACACACCACACACACATACACACACACACACACACACACACACACACACACACACACACACACCAGCAATTCTTACCCAGAAGCAGAGGCAGAAGGATTAGAAGTTCATCCTCAGGTACTCGGTGAGTTCAAGGCCGCTCTGGGCTACATCAGACCCTGTTTAAAAAGATTAGCTTCTTGTGACCACTGCTCTAGAAGGGCAAACGTTTCAGGCCCAGGGAGACAGACACCACCATGATTGATGGACTCAGGACTGCTTCCCAACTGCACCTGAAGGGTGGTGACAGGAGCCTTCTATCCAGGAAAGCAGTGGGGGATGGGATCTCTGCAGGGGACAGCTGTTCAAGCTGACTAGGACTCTGAATGTCCTAGTCACAAGGTCTGTGAGGTCTGAATGGAGGACGCAGGAGATAACGTCAAACAGAAGACCTTGGTTAGGAAAGGAAAATCCATAGTCTGGGTGTTACGGAAGCCAGCGTGACAGCCGAGAGGCTCTCCCATGTGACTCTGGACTGCCTTCAGGTGAAAGAGTGGACAGGAAGAGCTGAGCCACCAGTGCAATGGGATCACATTTGTGAAGGGACGGACATCACCTGGCCCATTCACTTGGCGTCTGTCACCAGTGGACCGACTGGATAAAGGGACAAACCAAAAGAAGTTCAGCACGTGAGGTCAGCCTGATGTAGTAACTCCTGGCATCATCCCCGAGATCACTGTCCTCCTTGGGGACATGGACCCCAGTGCCTGTCATAGCTCCTATAAGCTTATTGCACACACGCAGTCCCTTCCCACCTGCACAGCATTTAGGGAGCCAGCCAGACTCCTGCGACCCCATGGGTCACTGCACAGTGAGGACCCTCTAGACAGTGCTCCCGAGGCATCTAGGCCTAATGGCTGAGCCATTAGGACACTTGTGAGCTGGACACCCATAACCATGAAGACCCCTCAAAATGCCACTTGTCTTCCAGACCCAGAGGAGGGGCCTGCGCTGATGAACCGTGACTCCTTAAATACTGAGACCCTGCCATGAGCTGCACGTGGTGTCAGCCAGGGGATGACGTTCTCTGCCCTCAGTCCCTTAATGGTGACATCCTGGTAGGCATTCAGATCACTGAGGGAATATGAGAAAGATGTTCAAAAATGAGGAAGACACCTCCATCCTTGGCTGCTTAGACCTGCCCTGCCCCCAGTTGAGACCCGGGAGGGGACAGAAAGCCAAGGACTCAGACATTGAGCAACAGCCTGGCCACGGGACGGTTTCCATCCTGAGGACGGCAAGCATATCACCCCAAACTGTGGACTCCCCAAACCACCAAATGTCACCATGCTGTAGCCTGGACATCTGAGGACACACTCCGAGCCTCACCTTCAACTCCTCAGAAATGAGCACTTGGAGCATGTGGGCCCCCACCTCCACTTGATGCATTGCACGACCTGTGAGGGGACATCATATGCTCCTAAGCCCCCCAACCCCCCGCCCCAACAGCTGGCTTCCTGGGCATTTTGGCCTCAGCCCCACCCTGGCCAATCTATCATACAGTTTCACAATTTTTTTCCGTCTCCTACCACCCCTCCTCTGCTCCCCCCCCCCCCCCCCCCCCCCCCCCCCCCCCCCCCCCCCCCCCCCCCCCCCCCCCCCCCCCCCCCCCCCCACCCGCTTCCTCGGCCTTTTGGCCCCCCCCCCCCCCCCCCCCCCTTTCCCCCCCCTTTCCCCCTTTTTTTCCCCCCCCCCCCCCCCCCCCCCCCCCCCCCCCCCCCCCCCCCAGACTGTGAAGGCTCCTTCCTAGGGCCAGCCATTGCCACCACCGTCAGCTCCTTAGACTGTGCGGGAAGATCAGGTGCAAAACCCCTATTCCCACGTGTGCGATCAAAAATGGAAGTGCGACTCCCAGGAAAGCAGGTGGCAGAGACTCAGCAGCCCACAAGCTCCTGGGGAGAGTTCTGCAGGAGGAAGGGGAGGAGGGTAGGGGAGGAGACAAGCAGTCCTGCAAGGCAAACTAAACCCACTCCTTGTGCCCTGCCACGCCCCCAGACGTATCATCTAGAAGCAGGACAAGGGTCCCAGAGTCCTGCTACAGGGCTCACGCTCAGCAAGTGGTCTTTACTATTTGTTGGGTACGAAATACTTCCTGAGTACTAGGAATAAAATATTGAAAGATGCTTAGGTAAAAACAGAAGGGCTGGGGATTTCTTTCTAAAAACTGGACTTCCGCACTTTAGATGACAGCCAAGACAGGCTGACTGGGCTCTGGAGCCTCTGTTTCATACCCACCTAGTGGAGTGTAAGAGATGGCCCTGCTCGCAGAGGAAGGGGAATTGAGAACCAGATCTGTCCAAACCAGTGCCGCAATGACCTCTTTCCCCGAAATCATATTCTGTCCCCTCACCCTAAGAGAGGGATGGGCTCAGCCCGGAGGAACCTGATAACCAGCAGAGCGGGAGGTGCCACATCCTCGGTCCAGCACTTCCTCAGCCCCCGCGGCAGCGGAGATTCCCATGAGCGCCTAGGGCTTCGGGATGCAGTCTGTCCTCTCCTTCCGGAAACAAGCAGAGCCTGCGCACAGGTCCTAGCATCAATAATTGCCGCAAAGACCTAGCCCTTCCACCCTCCCCGGGTCTGTCCTGCAAGAGAAGGCAGATAGGCTGCACCGCAGGCCAGGTGGAAAGCGGCGGGCCACGCCAGCGCTCAGTCACCACATTTTGTGAGCATTTAGGGAAGACTTCTGGGTGCCACCGGGTCTGGGGACCGCAGCCGTGGGCGCATGGGTCGGGACTCGGATCCGAACCTCAGAGGAGGGGCGGTGCTGTTAGACCAGGGGCGCAGCCGCAGGACCCTGAGTCGAGTGGCCGGGGTTGTCCTCCCCAACCAGTAGAGACCCGCCCACAGCCCGTGGAGCGCCCCGCCCGCCGCCCGCCCCCGCCATCCGAGCCCGGCTCCGCCGCCAGGGAATCTCCAGACTGTGGCAATCTCCAGAACCTGAGGTTTCCGAAGCTCTTCGGGGTCGCTTCGCCCGGAGGTGAGTCTACGGGGCCCGGTCTCAGATGTTCACGCGTCACGCGAGGACCGGGCCATGATGCGGATGCGCTGGGAGAGAGCTGGCGGCCTTGGTCGCAGCGTCTGGGGTCTGGGCACTCGGTACCCGGGTGCGGAGTGGTTGGAGCCTGCGAGGCCCCCCGGCAGCGTGCTCCATTCCTCCCTTCCCCCAGTCCTCCCGGAATGTTTCTGGAGATCTGGGGCAGAAAGGGGCAAAGGCCCCTGCTGAGCCCTCACTGGGTGTCCCTTTCTCAACTCCACCGAAGCTGATTTGTCTGCTGGGATCTCCAGGAATACACCCTTGTAAACTAGAGCAGGAGTTGTGGGACCCTCTGACTAGGTGGATTGGTTGCCCAGCGGCAGGACCCTCCCCAGAGTGTGGAGCGGGAGCTCTTTGTCTTTGTCCGGGATTTTGCATACCGGTGCTGAGGTTCCCGCGGTTGTGCCTTGTCCCTGGCTAGCTCCGTTGACCTAAACAGGCTCATTCCCCGGCCGGCCGCCTGTCTCTAGATACCTGGCTTTCACAGGTGAGCCCTGTGAGTTTGAGGAGGAGTTCCTGGGCCCCAAGCGGCCCTGCCCAGTGGCCTGCAGATGGTAGCTGTGGACAGACTGGTCACAGACTCATCGCACTGGACTGGTTTCCAGTTCCAACCACTCCCCTGGTACCTCCCCTCAGCCCTTCTGGTCACGCTGTGAGTCCTCCTCGACCTGTTTGTGACATGCGCCAGAGCTTTCTAGCAGACAGCTCAGATCAGGGCTCCTTCGTTCCAAAACCTCACTGTGTTTAGGAAGAAAAAAAAAAAAAAAAAAAAAAAAAAAAAACAGGCGGCTTCTTTTCTCCCTGTATGTACTGCCTGGAAGCGAGAACAGGCCCAGCTGGGCTTGGCACTGAACTTGACCATCTGGGGTTTTTGCTACCCACTACATAATGTTAGTTAGCAAGGCTCAAGACAGGAGAGGCCAAGGGCTGGACCTGGAAGACATTACAACTTCATTTCCTACTGCACTCCCTTTCTCTGTCTTAGAGGACCTCCCCAAGTCTGTAAGCCACCCCTTTTCCTCTCCCACTCAACAGATGGTACCAGTGTGCTCCCCCCGCAGGAGGCCAGTGGTACTCAAAAATAGGACAGTAAAACCCAGCAAGCTGGTCCTTTCTCCAGCTTTGTCTATCCTGTGCCACAGACTCCTGCCCAGGTGCCCAGAAAAGCCCCATGGCCCACCTGCCTCTCTAGTGTGCTGAGGGATACAGGTAACCTCTTGTTGCCCTTCTCAGACCCAGGTGGAGGAATGGAGTTGGCTTCTTCTGGAAATGGGTCCTGAGCCCCACCCCCAACCTAGTATGGGCAAGGGGGGGGGGGGGGAATGGTGAAGCCCAGAGGCCTCTAGCCCCCTCCAAGAGTGTTCTGCACTGCCCTGACCTCAGGTCCATTCCCTAAGCCCCCCACTTCTGTGGCATCCTGAGAGTTCTTGGTTCCCCCTACTTGGCCTTGGGTGCCCCCAAGTTTGGGAAGAGGATGTCAACTGGAAGGTACCATTAGATGAATTTGGAGAAAGATTCTGCACTTGCCAAAAGGGATGTCAGATAAAAGCTCTTTCAGTAATTGGCCGCAAAAGCAGCAGGAGGGGGCCAGTTGTACTGAGGTAGAGGATTTGATTAGCAGCCCATGGGGCAAAGGAAAAAAAATCTGGCTGCTACAGGTTTCAAAAGGAGGAGGGGCTCTAGATGACATATGGCTTATGTAAGTGTGACTGTAGCACAAGGCTGGCTTTAGGCAGTGCAAACTGCTTTCTGATTGGTGCAGGGGCTAGGAAGCCTTTCCTGGATAAGGAATTGAGCTGTAACTTAGGTGGTCTCAATGGCTAGCCTCAGGGCAGCAGGGGGTTCAAACTGCTTTCCTGCCCTACCTGGGGCCTGAATCCTGATCTACCAAGGGGACACATGTGGCTCACTGGGGAGGTGTGGGATGGTGCTGTCTAAGCCAGGATCCTGAGTGGGTAGCCTATCCTTTAACCAACCAACTAACTAACTAACTCTCTCTCTCTCTCATTTTAGCAGGCCTCTTTGGAGCCCTCGCCAGGTGTCTGCCGCTTCCAGCATGAGGGTCTTCTTGCCTGTACTGCTGGCAGCCCTTTTGGGTGTGGAGCAAGGTATGGAGCCCTGAGACCCCAGGTCACCTTGTGTTTAAGGAGACACTTTAGCCCCTCCGGAACTACAGTCTAATGTCACTTGTCGTCTCTCTCTGATCCAGGACCGAGCATGTTGTAGTTGCTAGTTGTCAGCAAAGGGTTGGGTGTCAAGCCCCGCTCCCCCACTGGAATGGAAGCCTTCCCTGGAAGGCTTCCCCAGGACGCAGGCAGCTATCACATACAGCGTGTCCCTTTTTGCAGCCCATTCCCTAATGTGCTTCTCCTGCACTGATCAGAAGAGCAACTTGAAATGCCTGTGGCCAACTGTATGCCCGAGCTCTGACAATTACTGTGTCACAGTATCTGCTGCCGCCGGCTTTGGTGAGTACCATCCTAACCATCTCCCTGGCCTGCATCCTAACCACCATCTCCCTGGCCTGGACCAGGGATCCACAGCGCTTTCTCCATCTCCTGGTGTCCATATGTCTGTCCCCTAATCTCACTTTCCATACAGGGAATGTCAACCTTGGCTACACCCTGAATAAGGGCTGTTCCGAAATCTGCCCTCGTGAGAACATCAACGTCAACTTAGGAGTAGCATCCGTGAATAGCTACTGCTGCCAAAGCTCCTTCTGTAACATCAGCACAGCTGGCCTTGGTCTCCGCGCCAGTATCCCCATGCTGGGCCTTGGACTCCTGCTCAGCTTGCTGGCTCTGCTGCAACTGGAGCCCTGACCACCCCTGTGTACTCCCCATATTCCCCCCAGCTCAGGAAGAAAAGCAGCCCCTTTTAGATCCCAGGGGACTCTAGGAGCCTTCAGCTCCTCCTGGGTGTGTCTGGTCCCCTTCTACACTCTCTCGGCATCAGGGATGAGCACCAAATGGACCCACATCTTCTCTGTTGAAATGGGACTGGCTACCCTTGTGTCCAGAGCCAATCCTGTGACTTCCTTTGGGGAACCAGGAAAGGGGTGAAAATCTTCCTTGGAGTCTCAGAGTCAGACACACTGACGAGGATGTCTAACCGAACGAATGTACACCTGTGTGCTCAGTGTGTCTGTGTGTGAATGAAGCCACCTGGAGTCTGGGATGGGCAAAGGGGACCTGGAAGATACTAGAGCGGAAGGCCTCTGTCTCTACTAAAACTCCTTCCCCTGGCATTACTGTACCCAGGTTGTACCCATTTCAGGAGGCTGCCCGTGGAGGACTGCCACTCCCAGTGAAGGCTCCCACCCCTAGACCCAGTTGAGTCCCTGCCTGCCCTCTCTGCCCACACTGGCTTCCTGCTGCTATTCTAGTGCCTCAAATAAACTGTTCCCACCCATTTCTGCTCTGTCCTGGATGTCCTTACCCCTCTCCTACCTTGCAGAGTCTCCTTTCCCCTCCAGTCTGGAGGGAGCTGGAGATCCCACAAGCCCACAGCTCTGCATAAGAGATTCTGAAAGACCAGCCTGGCGTGGTGATACATTCCTTTAATGCTAGCGAGGCAGAAGCAGCTATCTATGAGGCCAGCCTGGTGTATATAGCAAATTCTAGGAATCCAGGCTCATTTAGTGGGATGGAGAAAGGAAGAAAGAGGAAGAGAGATAAGGGAGAGAGAGCTGGGAAGTATGCTGTCTCAGGCTGCGTAAGTCCAGCTACCCTTAAAGTGGACCCACGCGTTATTCATCCAGGGACTTAGAGGCCCGCTGTGTACAAGTCCTTCACAAACCACAGTGGTCTGTGAAGCCACAGAAGTGTGACCAGGCTAATGATATGGTTTTTGTTTTGTTTTGTTTTTCTACTAATATGGTTTGGTGTACTCCCATGCACACGCCAATTTTTTCTTCTTTTTTTTTTTTTTTTTTTTTTTTTTTGGTATTTTAAGGCAGGGTCTCACTATGTTAGACTCGCTGCCCTCAGACTTGAAGTAAGCCTGCCTCTGCCTCCCAAGTGTGGGGATTAAAGGCGTGAACCATCATACCCGACACTAAAACTTTTTTGTTTCTGAAGCAGGATCTCACTTAAATTCTAGGTAGAGGTTACAGGCAGTTGCCACTACACCTGGCTTAATGGGATTCACTGTTGTGGCTGCTGAGGGACAAGGGACTAATGGAGACAGACCTTGAAGCAACTTTCCTTGTGTCTGGGCTCCTAAGGAGGTGCCTATTTCTCAGATTTCCCCAAGTCTCTGGGCTGGCAGGTGATACTACATTGGGATGTGATCCACACAGTTTGTGGCTATGGCGATATCGGTGTCCTAGGGATACTGCCCGGGGTGGGGGGATCAAGCATGGGGACTTCAAAGGAGTCAGGATGGACTTCTGAAGTCTACGAAGGCAGTGGCTTTGTCAGACCAGGATTCCCATGACCTATATACCCTGAAGGTGTCAGAGAAAGGAGCTAGTCTCATCCCAAGTGGGTCTGCCCAGGCTCATAGTGCGAAAGAAAAAACTAAGGAAAGCAACTGTGGGGCCCCTGAGACTCAGGACGGAGGGGTGCTTGTCACAGGACTATTGAAAGGCAATAGAGAAATGTGGAGGCCAAGTCTTCTGCGGGAATCTTGGGCACCGACAGTATCC